ATGTCTAGCTGTCAAGTCCACAAGCTGGTCAATACGGGGCAAAGGGAAGCTATCCTTCGGACAAGCACGATTAACTGTTTTGTAATCGACACAAACTCGCCACTTCCCATTCTTCTTGGGCACCACTACTGTGTTGGAAATCCACCGAGGGTAGTGCACTTCCTGAATTGCTCGTGCCTCAAGCAAGTTTTTCACTTCCTCTGCAACTACCTCGGCGTGATGAAGCGCCGATCTCCTTGTTCGCTGAATGACTGGCTTTGCTCCGGGGAAGACATTGAGGTGATGGCAGATAAAACTTGGATCGAGGCCGGGCATATCGTAAGGCGACCATGCGAAGACTTCGATGTTGGTCATCAAAAACTCAACCATCTCAGTCCTTTCTTGGGCCGTGAGGTTGGAACCGAGCAGGAGGAACTTATCCGGCCGCTCCATATCAACTCGTACCTCCATCAATTCCTCAACAGCTTTGTCCTCTGCCTTGGTGCCCACATCGTCAAGAACTCCCCGGCCTTCCGATCCTTCTATCATTTGCACGAAGCCTTTGGCAGCCCGACTCCGGTTCACTGCCACGAAGCATTGTTTGGACATGACCTGATCTCCCTAAATCTCTTCGATTGCCCCCATAGCTGAGGAAAATCTCATCACCTGATGGTAGGTCGACGCTACGGTTTGCATGGCGTAAAGCCATCCCCTTCCAAGGATTAGATTGTAAGTAGAAGGAACTTGTAACACCCAAAACTCCACTTGCTTGACCACGGATCCCGCTTTGACCGGCAGGATAATCTTTCCCAAAGGCCACTCCGGTTGTGAGTTGAAACCAACCAGTGGCAAAGTTGCCGGAGCTAAGTCTGTCTCCCGGAGCTTGAGTTGCTTGAACGCGTCGTAATACATGATCTCGACCGAGTTTCCCTGATCGATCAAGATCCGTTTTACATCGAATTCCTTGACGCGGAGTGTTACTACTAAGGCATCGTTGTGCGGCGTCTGAATACGCTCTAGATCCCTTGATGTGAAACTAATTACATCTTTCTCTACGGTCTTCCCCCTCTTGATGGCAAGCTGTACCGACAAAACCTCCCTCATATGTTCGGCCTTTTTTATCATACCCCAGAGTTCGCAAACACGCTCTGGTTCCACTATGCCGTGGATGACATTAATAACTCCTTGTGGTGGCGTATCTCGGTCATCTTGTCCCCTGGGCTCAACCAGAGCCTGGTTCGCCTTTACGCCCCTATCAATGTAAAGGTCTAGGTGTCCGGCTGCGACTAGCTCTTCCAGGTGTTGCCTCAAAGGCAAACAATCCTCAGTCCGGTGGCCTCGCTCCCGATGAAATGTGCAACGATACTGCGGATTGTAACCCTTCTGTCCATCGCCCAACTTAGCAGGAAACCGGACATACTCCTCATCTCGGATTTCACTAAGTATGCGATAAATTAGAATTTTGAAGACCGTGGTTATGCCTGTCCTCGCCTTCAACCTTCTGTTTGCCTCCGCTACGTCATCTCGGGGGTAGTCATTTCGACGTCCTCTACCCCGGTTCTTGCGGTTCGAGCCGTGGTCCGACTTCTCTGCTCGGTCACTTGAGCGGTTGGACTCTTGCCTAACTGCATGCACTTTGCCTGCTGTCTTCTTGTCTGTTGCTACCGGAGTTGCCTTCACGGTAGATGCTGATGCATCATCGTCGACTCGGATGTGCTCATTGATGCGCCGCATGAGTTGGCCTATGGACGTCGGTTGGTGCATGGTAAGCGAGTCCCACAGTCCATGTCCGACTGGGAGACCACGCTTGTATTGAGTGATTGCAAGGTTGACCGGGCAATCCAAGATCTTGTTGAAGGTCTCCCAATACCTGGAGTTATACGCCTTCAATGTGTCGCTCGGTTCCATCTTGACACTCAGTAGGTGATCAACTTTTTTTGGTGTTTTGGTGTTGGTTTTGAAGCGTGTGACAAAGGCTTCAGCCAGCTGATGCCACCTCTCAATACTCCCCTCCAGCAGCCTTTCAAACCACTTCAAGCCCAGTTCACCCAAACTTGACGGAAAGATGAGACACATAAGAGCATCATTCCGCGTATGTCCGGCCATGACCTGTCGGAAATGACTTACATGCATGTAGGGATCGGTCTTTCCATCGTACAATGTGAACTTCGGCTGGTGGAAGCCCGACGGGAGAGGTGTTGTTTCTATTTCCAGGGAGAAAAGGGTGGCATTCAACCTTGCCAAGTCGGAATCCACAAGGAGTGGCGCCGCTAGGCGGGGTGAAGGCATTCCGACCTCCTCGCTGGCGTGAACCCCGTAGGATAACCGCTGGAAAGCCGGTATCCTCTGTGCCTTCTGCCGATGAGCCCGTTCCTCCAAGACTGCCCGCAAATCCTCTGATTGAGTGGAATAGATGTACCTCGACGTCGTCGCCGGACGTGAGGGATGATAGGTGCTATCTTGCGCGCTGGACTTCTCTGCGCGCACTTCGGAATCACCAACCTTGTGACTTCTGGTAATAGAGATGGACGGTGTGTGCCGCTGACTCTGACTACCTGAATGGCGGGATGGGGTGCGCTCACTGTGGTCACCCACTCCAGCTACACCCTTCCCTTTGACATGCCGCTTGAGCTCTTCCATCTCCGCCGCCATTCGCCGGATGACGGCGTCTTGGTCCCTCAACTTGTGTTCCAGACGTCTGGCGTGTGACTCTCCGCCGCCGATGACCGTCTGAACTCTGCGAATGACCATAACTTCTCCCGCCTTCTGGTAATAGAGATGGACAGTGTGTGCCGCTGACTCTGACTACCTGAATGGCGGGATGGGGTGCGCTCACTGTGGTCACCCACTCCAGCTACACCCTTCCCTTTGACATGCCGCTTGAGCTCTTCCATCTCCGCCGCCATTCGCCGGATGACGACGTCTTGGTCCCTCAACTTGTGTTCCAGACGTCTGCGTGTGACTCTCCGCCGCCGATGACCGTCTGAACTTTGCGAATGACCATAACTTCTCCCGCGCTTATCCCGCGCGTCCCCCGACTGTCCTCCTGGGAATGTCTCCAAGTCCCCCATCGGCGTAATGGCGGGGTGTCCCTTTCTCCGTCTGCCTGACTCCGGAGTAACTCCGTCGATGGCGGACAACGGAAACTCATCGTTGTTCGCCATGGACAGTGATCAGATGAGAGTGGAAGACAAGGTTTTATCTGCAAGTTCCCACAGACGGCGCTAATTGTACGGGGAGCAAATATTCCGGCAAGCCCGTACTCCTTGCTTCCGAGCTCCGTCTCTATCTGATTACCTGCGTACACAACGGCAGTGAGCTACCCGGCGGTGTGTGGCCGGAAAACCCCTCCGACGATCAAGTTAGGGCACACACACAGGGGATAAATAGAGAGAAAGGAGAGTGTTGAGTGTTTCTCTTACTCCATGTTCATCTATCCGCGTATGCGGGGCGCAGACATGCTTATATACCTTCTGCGCCCCAAATCTACTCCCAGTGACCTCTCAACACGTGGCACTGCTATCCCATCTGTCAGCATAAACCTTGCTGAGCACCACCTAACCCAACTGCCCGCCCATTCTCCTGGGAGCTCGGCAGCCAGACAGTATCGTCTCGGCCATCGTCTGCCACTCTGTGCTTCATGCCCAAGTACTCCAACAGCTAAGCTCAGATGAGGACTGGACTCGGCGGCATCTCGGCAAAGCTAAGCTCGGGACAACTCACGCTTGTCTGCGATTGACTTACCTGCCGAGCAAACAGGTACCTCGGTCCAACCTCGCCTTTCCTGGCGCTGGACTTTTCACCTGACCGGCTTCGCCACCACGGATCTTTGCAGCTCGATCAATCTACGCGCTATTTTAACCGAGCAGCTTCCTTCAAGGCCGGGCCACACAACTTGGCCCAACACCTGTTCTGCCCAAATCTGTCTGGCACAGCTCTGTCCGGGCCAACACCTGTTCGGCCCAAATCTGTCTGGCACAGCTCTGTCCATCTCAAATCTGTCCGGCACAACTCTGTCCGGCCCAAATCTGTCTGGCCCAATTCCATATCATTAATCTCCCTCTCACGTAGTTAGAAACAGCAAGTTCAGAAGAATTTTTTTTTTTTTATAAAAGCGTGGTTTTCAACAGCGAGTTCAGAAGAATTTTTTTTTTCTTCATAAAAGCGTGGTTTTGAACAGTGAGTTCAGAAGAATTTTTTTTTTGGATAAAAGCTTGGTTTATAGCAGTGAGTTCAGAAGAAAAAAAAATTAATTAAAAATGCCTTTTGTAACCGCGATTTCTTAATCAAAAGCGCGTTTTGTAACTACGATTTTAACACTTCCCAAATCCCACACGAGACAGGCGCATAAATGTTAAATTCGTGGTTATGAACCACGATTTAACTTATTTTAAGAATTCTTTCAAAATTAGGTTTAATTTGAGAATTGATTTAATATTTTGACTTATTTAGGGAAATGCCCCAAATCTCTAACCTTTTTTAAGAAAGGACGAAATCTCTAACTTGAAGTGATCAATTGTAGTAACGGGCCAACAATAAAAAAATAAAAGATAAATTATAAATATATCTCTCAAGATTTTTTTAAAATTATATTGTCTTTTATAATTTAAAAAATTATAAATATTCTTTTGTTAAAATTTTTTATTTAACATAATTAACTAAAAAAAATTATAATTGTTCTTCTATATAATAATAAAATTATATAAATTATTAATTGAAACATATTTATAATATCATTAAAAATTGTCAATTAACTTGATAATTTATTAATAAAAATGATATTTTTTTATGAAAATATAATTTCTAGAACTATAAAACATGATTTGTATTTTAATCAAATCTCAAGACTATATTTATAATTTATCAAAAAATAAAAGTTGAATTTTGCTTTTATGAGTTGAATTTTATTTTAACAATTCAAAGTTACCAACAGGGCGAAGAACAAACCGACGGTCAAGATCGTCCCAATCCGTTGAACTTGTCAATATCAAACACAGGGAAGTCAAACTTGTTAAAAACCGGGTCAAACCCCAAAACGCTCTCCCAGCGCAAGATAGCCCTCTAGGCTCTACGGCACAGCGAAGAGAGAGAGAGAGATTTGAGAACGAGAGAGAGAGAGAGAGGGAGAAGAAGAATACAAAAGCGTTTCTCGAAACAGAAAACAGAAACAGATGGCAGAGAGAGAGAGAAAGAAACAATAATTGTTGCAGTTTCTGGCAAAGATCCTGTGGGCCAACTAGGGTTTTATAGCTCTCTTTCTTCATCTCTTCTTCTTCTTCACAGACATTGTTGTTGCATTGTACCAGAGACTCTACAGAGAAGCTTTTTAGGTACAGATGGAGTTGCTGGAGTAAGGTCTGTTTCTGTTTCTGCTATCAATTTTTACAAACAAATCATCTACTTATACACTTCTATGTATGTTTTGTGTAATTTACTCATCCTATCATTGTAGCAAAGTGTAGATTGAGAAGGAGTAAGAGCTTCATTCAATCCAATTACATTTTCTTCTTGGTAAGCGCTCAACTATTTCTTCAATTTTTTTTTTTTGTTTTAAATTTTTGATTTTAGTGATCTTTCTAGTGTTTTCATACATGAAATTGTTTTTTGATTTTTAATTTTTTTGCTCCATGTGTGATTAATAAGGCAGTGGCATGGATTTAAAAAGTATAAACAGTACACAGATATGTCGACACAATAAATTTTTTAAAGAGAAAATTTAAAAAAAAAAAAATCAGAGTTGAGCCTTGTAACAAATAAATCACGAGTTTTCAATTTTGTCAATTTAAATCCTAATTTTTTTAAATATGGTTTCAGTTTAAACCATCCACCTATTTTTGTTAAGTAAAATTGTTGGACGAAGTGTATTTTAGTCATTAAATTAAATAAAAACGGGTGTTTTAGACATTTTTCGTGCACTAACATTGAGTTTAATAACTAAAATACAATTTTTCCGATAGTTTTTAACGAAAATATGCGGATGATTTAGATTGAAAATAAATCAGAAGATTAGGGTTTACATTGATAAAAACAAAAATTCAGGATTAATTTTGTTACAAGACTCAAACCTCGGGAGTATTTTATTTTTTTTTGTAATTTCCCCTTTCTAAAAAACAATGGAGATACCTATAAATTATATTAATTTATGTATTTATTATATGTAATTTATACAAATATTACTTTCAAAAGATAATAAAAATTGTAAAATAATACTAATTTTTAAAATTTTATTGGAGAAAGATTAACAGATTTAAATAAACAACATTAGCAACAACTTTTCTAATTTAAACTTTGTTTTCTAAAAGGACCTTGTACACTTTCTTTCAATAGCATCTTTTACCCCTCATCAAAATACATATTAGTTTGGGAAAATAGCATTTAAGTGGGAACAACTCTGAGTAATTACATTTTCAAGGAGGTGCAAGTGAAATCAAGTGAGAGTAGTGTCGCATGCCACAACTTTTACTTGCACCGGACATAGGTTCACTTGCACCACGATGAAAGTGCATTTATTTTGAGTTATTCCCATATAAATGCAATTTTTTCTGTTAGTGTTCTTTAATATGGAAGTCAATTTCTTGAGGCCTAAAACTAAGGACATGCTAAAGTGACCTCCATAATGCGTGAAAATCATTAGTAGCATACTTTGAACTTGAATGGCTTGTTTATTGTTTATCATTCATAAGGAATATGAAACCAGCCTGGTAAAATAAGTTCATTTGGCTTATCTATTATTTTATTGTATATTTTACCATAGCAAGACGTTTTGTTTTGTCTTGTTTTTTAAATTGAATAGCAGAAAAACGGGGGGTCATTAGTTTTGAGGCAATCAAGCCAAGACCCCTACTTACGATACTGTGATACTTCGACAGCTTTTTAACCATTTTCCCCTAGATGTTTGGCATTTACCATTGTTTTCTTAATGAAAACTTTTGCTATGATGGAAATTTTATCTGAACTCTTGTGTGATTTGGGCAAATCAACAACAATAAATGTAAACATTTGTTTTGACATGGTCAAGTATGCTTCTACTTTTTAACCTTGAGGCACTTTTAATTAATTATTATTATTTGTTAAGTTGATCTCTCGCATTTATGTTATCATGCTATTAGTTACCTCAATAGAGGAAATAGGTTGTCTCTAAAAATTAATGTGGGTATTATTTATTTATGTAGTTTTTTAAGTGAATGTATTGTTTAGTGTAGATAACACAATGCAAACATATTTTTGGTTGTAAAAATTTATCTTGATATTGATTCATCAGGACTTGATATGTTTCCTCTATACATTAATAATTGTTATAAATTATTTAACAAATTATGGGATTTGAACTTTGGTTAGCTTGTGGATGAAGATTGTTGGAGCATGTTAGGTTTGATATAATACAACATTAAAAGCATGGTGCTCTTGTTTGCCACTTATTAGAGTTGCTTGTAGCTTTCTAGTCCTAAAATTGAAGGGTCTTGTTAACGTTTGCCCTTAGAGCACATGTTAAGTAAGCTTAAAGCAATCGTATATTCTTTATTGTGATGTACAATCCTTTTAAACTTCTTAACATGTTCCCCAAGGGCTAGCACACATTAACAAAATCCTAAATTCAACAGGTCCAAAATGAGCATAATTTATTAGTGATGAGGAATTCTAGATTTCTAAATTACAAAACTAGAAATTTCTCATTTGGTGGTGTGCACAATAAATTCAATGGTAATGGTTTAAAATTAAATTTACTTTTAGGAGATTTGGGAGTAATAGAAATATTTGATATCTTGAGGGTTGGGGGCAATCTATAATATTTTTGTTCAACACATCTCCCCCCCCACCAGTAAAATTTTGCATTTTTTTATATGTTTTTTCTTATAATGGAAAAGTATCTTACCCAAATAGGCCTTTAGACCTTTTGTGTTATGAGTTTCTAATATTCATAGATCTCTTTTTGAATTTTTAGAGCAAGAAGTGGAACTAAATCAACATGTTGAATTATTTCATTATTAAAAATGTATTAATATTTATATAGGTTTTAGTTTTTATTTCCAAATATTTTTATAAGTTTCCAAGTTCTTTTGTCATTTCCTTTATGTTTTTGAAATGTTTCTGTTTCTAAGCTTACTGAAACAACATATAGTGTAAGAATTTATGTATTATTGATTGATGTCTTGATTGATAGATTACAAGATTCATTAATTACAATTCCTATACAATCTATATATAGAAGAAAATGTGGTAGTAGGTGTAGTGGAGGTGATAGTGGGTTAGGTGAAGTGGAGTGTGTAGTGGAGTAGAGGTAGGTGAAGTGGAGTGTGTAGTGGAGTAGGTGAAGGTAAAGATGGGAAATTCTAACATATAGAAACTAAAATTTGATTCTTGGAGCCATCTAAAAACCTTGACAAAGTATGGTTCCAATTCATTTAGCTCGTCAGGTTGGTTCTTTGAAGTATATTTTTCATACCATTATACCATTAAAAGGATGTTGCTTTTGATCTGTATTAACATTTGAGCGTGTGCCTGCAATGGAGTAGGATGCTTGGTGCTAGTGAGCTGCCTAATTCTACGATTAGGCTGTTGAATGTTGGGTTAATTCTCTTACAGCATTGTTTCTATGCTTCCAATTAAAGTTAGATACCTGAAACGTTTCTCATTGCATCAAAATGTTCTAAGCACTGTCATATTGCAAAAGTTAACATATGTGGGATTAAATGGTAATCATCTGTTGCTGGTAAATGTATTTTTTAATTGGTTAGAGATCTTCATTATTTTTCTTCTTTTATCAATACCTCAAAGCTTAGTGGTAGTGTCACAGTAAGCACCTTAAATGAATGTTTGGGAAGGGGGACGAGAATGACTTCAAATATCTCTCTATCTGATTGATGATTGTTGGTATTGTGTTGAACCAAGAGTTTTAACACGAACTCGGTGCTACCATTCTAGTCCAAGCTGTCTTTGGTCCTCACCAGATTGTCACAAGGCCCACTAACACTTAATTCATATGTTTTGAAAATTCCTTTCTTGTTTTTATTTTAAATTGGCGCTTTTTAATCATGATTATTCATATCTACTGTCTTTATCCCCACCAACCGCAAGCTGATTGATTTGGATAGGAAATTTGATTTAGTGGCTTAAAGTAACATGGTATTCTTTCAGAGTGAAAACCATACAATTTTAGAAACTGGACAGACAATGGATTTCCCGATACAAATATTCAATCTAGAATATGGAATGTGCTTTTATACCTGTCATTCTTTGCTGCTCTCATTAAGTTACATCATTTGGAGCAGTCCAGAATCCGGATTTTACATGTCAAAAATATTGGTTGCATAGTTGTCAAATCGAGAATCATATTGTGAATCGAAATTTTAATTTGCCAATCGTGAATCAAATTGAATCGAGAATTGTTATTCCCAGTACAAACTGTAAAAAAAATGTCAAATAATTGTATATATGAAAAAAAATTAAAATAAATTGATTTTGATGCACATTATACAATTGTTTTTACATAAGAACATTATTAGACCATGAGATTGCCTTTATAGCAAGCAATGAGGGTCTAAATCCCACCAACCATAAAATTATTCAAAAATCATAACGTAATGTCTCTTGATATTAAAAAATGGACCTAGAAACCCTGTATAGAATATATTAAGGAGAAAGAATGAGCAGAACCCTTTATTTTAAAATCTAAAACACTTTAAAAGGTGTATATGCTTATTGTTAAAAATAGTTATGGAACCATTGGGTCTAATTGGCTTGATCTATGTAATATTGAACCACATTTATTTTACTAAAATAGTAATTGATAATTCGTGGGTGCCAGTTATTTCAACCTTAACACATTCATTTTAACATTTTTTTTGAGAAAAATAAATGAGGAAAAAAGGTTAAGAGAGGTTGGATCTGACAAGATCTTATTGGAATTTATTAAAAACCATCTAATCACCAAAATAACAAAAAATATGCATAGGTATTGGTTATTTTTGTAATACATACTCTTAGAAGTTGTATTGTGTTATTTTTACAGAAAGGGACAAAATGGGGTTGAAATTTGTCAGACATGATTGTTTTAAGAATTGCATGAATTATAAAATGTGAATCGAATTGTAAATCAATTATGTATCATGTGATTCACCGTAAATTCTCTCCCAAAATATATTCACTCAGAGATCTGTATTGATCTATGCATGAATCACGAATCAAATCGTTAAATGAATTACAAATCATAAGATTATGATAATAGAGACAAATTGGTGTATCTTTATTGGCAGCTATGAGCTATAGGAAAAAAGTTTGTTGCCATGGCTCCACCCAAATTTGAAAGTTTGTAGGTTCCATTTTATGCTCTCAGTCCACCTAAGAGTTTGGAGTGTTCATTCTTCAATGTGAATTTAATTGTTAAAAAAATAGAAGGGTCTTTTTCACTGCCTTGTTTTATTGCCTTCTGCATACTTTCTTTTAATAACCACGAATTTTATGTTAGTAACTGAATTATAAATTAAAATTGGAAAGAGTATTTGCAATCAATT